GGAAGGATGAAAAATGAGAGAATAAAGAATAGAGAGATGTACGATGAGAGAAAAGTGAGAAAAGGGTTTTGTGAGAAAAACCAAGCCTGAGGGCCGAGTGATGTGAGCAATATATATGTGAGAAAGGGTGGAAAACATTACCTGCAGCAGTAGTGGACTCCCCACAAATCTGGTCATCTCTCGACGATAGAAAGCATCCAAGCCCATCAGCGTCTCGGCCAATGTCATGACAATGCAGCTCTTTCCTTCCTTCAAGCCTTGAGCAACTTCAATTAGATGAATGCTAGATCCGCTAAAGCCCGGGGCAAGAAAAAAGTGAGATATAATGCACAAGCAAAGGGCGTGTTGCCGAAAACCTTGCCAATGATGGTCGCCGCAGTTACCGGCATCAGAAAAACGATGAATCAAGCCAAGGATATCTAGTTCCCCGTTGTAGATCAGAGACCGAGCATCATGCATGGTGAGCCCAAACATCTGTCCTAAAGCTTGGGCGTGACCGAAGCGAAACTGGGACAAAATCTCTTCATGGCGTTTAGATTCCATCAAAACTTGAAAATCTTCGAAGGTCGGACAAATCTCTTGCCCGCCGAAGCTAAAGACATGTGTTATCGGGTTCCAAAACCTCGCCGCAGCATGGAGGAAAGGAAGGTGCAGTGATGTACGGCTCAACGTGAATAGTGCATTCAAGCCGAAGCCTTGGAAGTTCAACTTTTCCGAGCCGTCTAAAGTAGCAATCCAAGTTGCGAGATTTTCGACGAGAAACACCTCCATTTTGGTGCAAAACTGAGGTGAAATGAATGAGCCACGGAGCTAGGACTTTTAAAGAGGATAAGGCACTGTTCGGGGGACACGTGTCAAAAAACTGATGGTTGCTGAGCTGGGTGGTCGGCTGACCACCTTTTCTGGTAGGCCGACCACCCCCTTGGTCTCCAAATGAAAAAGCTGGTCGGCCAGCTCCCAAAGGTGGTCGGCCATGGAGGAAAACACCCCTTTGGTCTTTTCCTAGCTTCTAGAAGTGAGTTCCTAGCATTTCCATGCATCGGGAATGTTAAAGGTGCGAGTTTCCCTCTGTTTCGGATGCGTTCCGTCACCCAGATCGTCCGAAATGCATTTTGTTTATCAAAGTTGTTGTTAAGTTTTGCTTATCGAGTTGTTATTTTGCTTATCGAGTTGTTGTTTCGTTTGTCGAGTTGTCAAGTTTATCGAGTTGTTAAGTTTTGTCGAGCTGTCGAGTTTTGTATATTGAGTTGTTACTCTCTGTTTAATCAACGTTGTTGTGTCTTGTTTATCGAGTTGTAAACTTGCTAAGGTTTTGTTGTTTCTTAGTAAGTTAAGTTGTTTAGTTTGTTGTGTCGGTTCACTACTTGACTTGGCAAATTTTCGATGCTTAATTTTCATTCAAATCTCATTTTTTTTTTCTTTTTTTGTGTGCAAAATGATGCGATGCGATGCTAAGAACAGAAAATACAACACTTTTTCAAAAGCTGTTTCATTCCATCATGCTTCCTTTGCTACAACAGTTTACAACAAGGGTACAAGTTTTACAGAAAATAAAAACTGCCTAACAATGTATAATGTGCTACAACTACTAGTAAAAAGGTAAATAAAGCAGGGAACAGGTGCATCAATGCTCTCAAGCACAGGAGTAAGAGGCCCTCTTCGTCCTCTTCTGTGGAACAGCCTCAGCACCATCATCGCCATCTAGGTTAGAGTTGTCATCCTCGGGATCCTCCTTGGCCTCATCTCCAGAACTGGAACCGGAACCGGAACCACCCTCTCTGTCAGCAGATGTCTCTGACTGGGGATGCGCAGGCTCCTCCTCCTCGCTGGACTCCTCCTCTATGATAAGTGCTCTACGCTCACCTCGTCTGCGAGACGACTCCCCTCTCCTAGCTCCTCGAGAAGGCCTAGATGGCCCAGCTTCTCGGGAAGGCCTAGATGGCCCGGTATGTAGCGGAGGCATCTGAAAAGAAAGAGTGCAATACATCAGCCAAAGTATGTATATCAGATGCAGATGCAAGAAAACTACATGTAGTGGGTGCATGCAGATACAGTACATGCATGTGGTGTGTGTCAGGTGTGCTCTATACATACAGTCAATCAATGCAGTAAGATGTTCAAGTTCAATATGTCATCAAAAGTATGATAAATGCGAGAAAATTAAAGAGTACCTGGAAATCGAGGATGGACAGCTGCGCCTCTCTCCACAAGACCATGCCCTTGAGCGAGGCCACTAATCCGAGCATCCCATCCATGTACTCTCTGGGTGGCTACAAATACAAGCTCAGATCATCAATGACTGAATGAATGCCTAAGTATCTGAGTGATAAATGAAAAGCAGTGGAGCCTACCGGTGGTGAGTCAGGGTCACTGACGTATCGATGATCAGGCATAGGAGGCTCTATCGGAATCGGGTAGGAGCTCCCGTATTGCCAACCCGTCAATTCGGTCGTAATGTCTGGCCATCCTGCATGATGATAAGTTTGGGAAATCGGGGGGACCAGCCCAGCCCCACCCCTAGATGTACCAGCCCTACTGGTTAAAGGAATGTCTCTAGCTTGGGTGCAACTCAAGGATAGCATGCCAGTAGACCTCCTCGTGGGGGTACGGACACCTGCCAATGGAGGCATCAAATATGTATGACGGTAGGTCACGTACTCTCTGTCCTCCAAGTGTAGCAATACATCGGTGCCCAACCTGGCGTCAGTAACACCCTCGGGAGTGAGCCTATCGGCGGACCGTATGTCGACCGGAGGTGCTGCGGGGACACTCTGCTCGGGGTAACCCATAGTCTGGCGAAGGAAGCGTTCCCCCAGGAACCAGGCCCTACCAACCGGACCCTCAAACAGGATCCTGTACCAAGAGGCGGTCCATCCTCCGGTAAGCTGAAATCGGAGGTCCCCACCCAAAGGCACCCAAGGCTGCCATGTAATCTGCAAATAACCAATGCATAAGCCGATTAGAAATTGTAGATGTGCAAAATAAATCAAAGGTGAAAACATGGAGAACTGAGAGTTCTGAATTACCTCTGTCGGCCGCACCGTGTCGAAATACTGTCGCAGGTAGCGGAGAGTCTCCTGAGGACGCAGCCGGTACTGGCCTTCGAAAACGAGCAAATAGGGGGTCATGAGGGGCGCCTCCACCTCGAGCTCTGAGGCTAGCGTCGGGAAGTACGCAAAAACCCATAACTGTGGAAAATAGGGCAAAAGCCATCAGAATACAGAATGTTGAGTGCAAAATCTGAATACAAAATGTTGAATGCAGAATGTGAGTACAGAATATAAAGTGTGCCGTGCGTGCAATGTACAGATAATGAAAAGCAGAAATGTAAGTCAAGAGGGCAGAAGGTACCTCCTAGGCTCTCCAGTAGCCGCCAACTATGTTCCCTCGTCTGCGGGAGGTCGCACTCATGTAACAATAGAGAGTAGCCAAGCCGGCGCCACCCCAGTCATACTGACTAACCTGCGAGAGGTCTACCAGGGCACTTAGCAGACATAGCCCAACAGTGTTCCCCCTATCGGCGAACAGAGTGGTCCCGAAGAGGAACATCAAAAATCTGTGAGTGTGCTGTGCTACCTCCACTGGAGTCTCGGCACCCTCCCCCTGAACTGTATGGAAAACCAGGTATACCGGGCTCAGCCTAAGGATCTGTCGACCGGCGGGCGAGCTCCTAATAGATAAATCCAGGCAGCCTCCCACTCACCCATATCCTCATCATATGGGATCGGCCAGCCTCCCATGTCGAGGCCCGTCAGAATCGCAAAATCAAACGGGGTCATAGTCATGTCCCCGGTAGCAGAGAAATGGAAGGAGTTGGTGGTGTCCCACCATCTCTCTACAAGCGCACCCATCAATGTCCTACTGGCAGGATAGCGGGATATCCTTGTACAGAAAGGTCCAAACCCCGCCTGGTCAACCCACTCGCGGATAGCCTCCGGGAGCTCTGCGTACCACTCCCTCGTGACAATGGAGCCATACCCTCGTGTGATACGAGAAGACACCTGCATTCATAATGAACACAAGTATTCAATTTCAGAATGAAATGAATAAGCTGCGTGCAAATGACATGTATAAGCTGTGTGCAAACCAAATTAGATACAATGTTGTGAGCTGCGTACAATTGAAGTATACGAGCTGTGTGTTCAAAATAGAAGTGTTTGAGCTGTGTGTTCAGATTTCAAAATCAGTGGGCTATGTGTTCACCTCAAAGTTTGAGCCGTGTGTTCAACATCAAGTATTTAGGCTATGTGTTCAGATTTCAAAATCAGTGGGCTGTGTGTTCACCTCAAAGTTTGAGCCATGTGTTCAACGTCAAATATTTGGGCTGTGTGTTCAGATTTCAAAATCAGTGGGCTATGTGTTCACCTCAAAGTTTGAGCTGTGTGTTCAACATTAAGTATTTGGGCTGTGTGTTCAGATTTCAAAATCAGTGGGCTGTGTGTTCACCTCAAAGTTTGAGCCGTGTGTTCAACATCAAGTATTTGGGCTGTGTGTTCAGATTTCAAAATCAGTGGGCCATGTGTTCATCTCAAAGTTCGAGCTGTGTGTTCAGAATAGAAGTGTTTGAGCTGTGTGTTCAGATTTCAAGATCAGTGGGTTGTGTGTTCACCACAAAGTTTAAGCCATGTGTTCAACATCAAGTATTTGGGCTGTGTGTTCAGATTTCAAGATCAGTGGGCTGTGTGTTCACCTCAAAGTTTGAACCGTGTGTTCAACAACAACTACTTGGGTTGTGTGTTCAGATTTCAAAAGCATTGGGCTGCGTGTTCTACTCTTGACAAGTGTGTACTGCTGTAGACACCCCATTTTGACCGGCCCTAAGACTTTGGCACTTTCTTTTAACCACCCGCTAATAAAAATTAGAATATGTCATTATATGTGTGTGTACACATTTTTAGGTTTTTTTTTTTATATATAAAATAATAATAAAAAACAAACAAAAAAATAAAAAATGAAAAAGAAAATAAAGAAAAGAAAAAAGAGAGGGTCAGATGAGGATAATGGGTTTTGGGATGGAAAAGAATTTTGTTTTTGCTGGATTCAAAGGGGAACAGAGTGGACATTGTGATGATAAGTTTTGGGTGGAAAATAATTCGGTGAAGTAGGTTTGAAAAGTGGTGGAGGAAATTGAAAAAAGAGGAGGGCAGATGAGAGTGGGTGGAGAGGAGACACCTAACAAACACACTATCTCTGTCTCTTCAGAATAATTGAGGTTTGTGGGCAGCAAGGGTGTAGATTTTTTATGATTGTTGACATGGTGGATGATAAACAATTAAAAAAAATCTCTCTCTTTATATTTTCCAACTTCTTTGAAGCAAGGGGGGGGAGACCAGAGCACACACACACGGAGGGTTTTTGGAGGAGAAAAAACAAAAAGACATGCACTGAGCTCTCTCCTCTCTCGGGGCTGGTTCTCTACACATTCATTCACACAACACCCACACACAGATGGCATAACACAGCAGACACACAACACACAACACACACACACGGTTTAGAGAGAGAGACATAGACACCCACACACAACCCATAGACGGATGGAGCTTCAACACTGATACAGACCAGACACACACACCAAACCCAGCTCTCTTCACTCTCTAGACATTCCTAGGCTCCTCTCTCTCTCTAAACAACATAGGCACACCACACCATCTCGGCACCTCTCTCTCTCTCGTACCACTCCCTCGCGACGATGGAGCCATACCCTCGTGTGATACGAGAAGACACCTGCATTCATAATGAACACATGTATTCAGTTTCAGAATGAAATGAATAAGCTGCGTGCAAATGACATGTATAAGCTGTGTGCAAACCAAATCAGATACAATGCTGTGAGCTGCGTACAATTGAAGTATACGAGCTGTGTGTTCAGAATAGAAGTGTTTGAGCTGTGTGTTCAGATTTCAAGATCAGTGGGCTGTGTGTTCACCTCAAAGTTTGAACCGTGTGTTCAACATCAAGTACTTAGGCTGTGTGTTCAGATTTCAAAAGCATTGGGCTATGTGTTTTACTCTCAACAAGTGTGTACTGCGTGTTCACCTTCAATTTGGGCTGAGTGTTCGGAAATTCAGAGTTTGGGCTGCGTGTTCCACTCTTAACAAGTGTGTGTTGTGCGTTCACAATCAATTTATGGGCTGTGTGTTCAGAAATTCAAGTGATTAAGTTGTGTGTTCAAAATGCAAACAGAATGTTATGTCATAGGCTAAAGTGTTCAGAACAAGCTATATGCTAGAATGAGCAGATAAGCATGGCAAAAGCGTGGAATGCACAGAAAATGTAGACTACATTACACATGGCAGAAAGTGTAAAAGTGAAGAACATACCTCCTGTGCCTGATGGGAGAGGTGGGACTTCGGCTCCCGCAATAAAAGATCCACCGGTGCTCGATCATCGAAATCAGTAAAATGATAGAAAACTGCCTGAGGGAGGACATGTGTCGGAGGGTCGTACCTCTCAGGAATAAATGGTCGAACCCTCGGAGGCAGAGCCATAATATCTGGATCATCTCCGGTGCCTGGAGGACCTCCACCCTGAGGAAAGTGACCGGCCATTTTGAAAAATCTGCAAAAAGGAGCAAAAATAAGCAAAACGAGCCAACATTGGAAAAAGTCAACAAAAGTCAACTCTCGAGAAATGAAAAAGTCAACAAAAGTCAACTCCGGAGAAAATCTTCGAAATATTGAGACAAACTCACCTTAAGTGGCGAAAATGAAGAAAGAAGCACCGAAATCAAAATCTAATCGGTCCAAAGTGAAGAAAATCAGAAGATTTCGCGAAACAACTTTGCGTGGGGCGTTGGAGAACGCGTATGGAGCACAAATCTGAGAGGGAAAATGCTCTAGGAAGGTAGAGGGACTGATTTCAGAGTTAGAGTTGTGAGGAAAAGGTGTTTGGCCGAGTAGATTTGAAGAAATGAGAGCAAAAAGACCAAACTGCCCCGGATTTGGGCTAAGTGGTCGGCCGACCACCTTTTCTGGTAGGCCGACCACCTCTCTCTCTCAAACCTGGTCGGTGGCCTCCCCCTGGGACCAAACCTAGTCAGTGGTGTTCCCAAGGTGGTCTCCAAGGTCTCTGCAAATTTTGGTGATGATTGGAGTCCCGGGACCCGAGAAAGTACAAGGAAAGTGCACTTTTCGTCGCGAAATCCCTCCGCGGGAAATTCAACTCCAACTCCAACTTGCGATGCGTGTCTCATCGTTACTTGTCAAAAAGCAAGGTGTATCCCTTTTTGAATATGTTGCGACCCCTCCGGGAGGTAAACCGGAGGTCGCAATTGAGTCGCCCTCATCAAAAACTTGTATTTCTTTGCTCGTTGTTTCGTGTCAAACACGCATTCGAGTTTGCACTTATCCTGCATTGTTATGCACGTCACTTGCATTCTCATACACACCACTTGTATTGTTATGCACGTCACTTGCACTCTCATGCATACCACTTGCATTTTTGTGCACATTTCATGGGTATTGTCATACCCTCACGCTTAGCTTGCGTTGACACGCGCGTGTCTCTCACATTGCGATGCACTTTCCCATCGGCACCCTGTTTGTCTACATTCGATATAGCGTTGAACATGTGTTGCTAACTATGTTGTGCTTGTTAAGTTTCTCTCTTTTGCAGGCACGATATTGTATGTACGATTCATTTGAAACTAGCGCAACTAGACAAATCGCGCAGGTATTGTATCTTCTCCGTGTGAGACGTAGCGAGAATTGAATAATTCTCCACATTCTTAAACTGCATGAAATGTAGTTGCAGCTTTGCATCCTTACTTAAAACTGTTGCGTGTGCGCTTCATTACAGCTTGCTGATCATGAGTTACGTCCGGCTTTGTGCATATCATTTTACATCTTGCCCCCTGCCGGCGGGCATGCCTGCGGGCGCATCTTTATTATCTTGCCTGTTTGTCTAAGTCTTCGGCCTTGTCAAAAATGGGTCGTCTCTGGGCTTTGACATTCACTCCCGTCAATTACAACTTTCGAGTTCTGTCAAAGAGGGCAACTGTAGACACCTCATTTTTGACCGACCTTAAGACTCAGACGTCACCGACTGAGCGCTCGGTGATGTTGCATATTGTGCTCGTTCTGAGGTTGCAGAGTTTCGGCTGCGAGCCTTGCTTCTGGACTTTGGGACTCTTTTGTGCTTTACCTCGATTTACGAACCAAATCCTATTTTCTTTGTTTTCTCTTCCCGAAGGAAGGGAGAGGTCTCGTAGACCATCTCTCAGTGGCCGTAGGCTACATTTCGTGGTCGCAGGCCATTCTGCCCATTTCGGAGTCCGGTTTCCGGTTTTTCGGAATCGTTGGCCGTGTGCCTCGGTTCGGGACCGCCTAACCATCTCCGTTTGTCCCTTCGGAGCCGTCGGCCGTGTGCCTCGGTTCGAGACCGCTTAACTACCTCCGTTTGCTCCAATTTTTGGCACACACCTTATTTCCTCCCTTTAATAAAAAACTGTGGCCCAGGAGACCACCTTCGTGGTCATACGCCACTTCCGGTGCCTAATAGCCTGTTTTCGGGGCCCCGGACTGCGCGTTTTGGCCCCCGAACCCTCGTTTTGCATTCGTCTTGGTCCATTTTTGGTAGGGACCCTATTTTCATTGCTAGGGAGGTGGTAGTATGGTGGGAGGCGACCTTTTCCCCTGAAAAACTAGTTTTCTCTTTTTCTCTCTCCTAAGTCGGTTTTTTTGACAGAAAGCTGGTTTTTCTCACTTTTAAGCCACAATTTCTGGTTTTTCTTACCATCATTGTGTTGTGCTCATCTGGAAGGCCACCAATATGGGTAGGCCGACCAGTAATTCCTTTTGACCCTTTTGAACCCCTCTAAAAAGCTGGTTTTTCTCTCTCCTAGGTCACATTTTCTGGTTTTTCACCACAGGGCTGTGTTCTACTCATCCGGGAGGCCACCTTTTTGGGTAGGCCGACCAGCAATTTTGCTCGAACCTTTTGACCCCTGGTCGGCCGACCAGGAGAGGTGATCGGCCGACCACTCTGACCCTTTTGAACTGGTCGGCCAGTTTTGTCTCTCTAAGTGTGTTCCAGTTGTGCCAGCTGTTTTACACTTGACCCACTGTCCGAGGGTTTTGTCCTTGTTTTAGCCCATTTTAAGTTGGTTTTCACCCCTTTGCTTGGCTTCAAAGAGGAATTGGCCCCTTTGGTCAAGCTTCCTTTAGAAGCTTTGAGCCTCTCTCTTGGCTTCTCCAAGAAGCCATGGCCTCCTCCCTCTATATAATCAACCCTTCACCTCCATTTTCAAGGGTTAGAAGCTTTTGGCTGGAAATATACATACAACCCTCTATCTCTATACTTCAAGCCTTAAAACACTCATATTCTTGGCCATTTTACCCTACACCTCTTAGCCTACCACCTCCCTCATTCATTCCAGCACCTTGGAGGTCATTTACAGAGGTTGAAAGCTCACCAACTTGGTCCAGAAGCTGCTGGAGGTCGGCTCTACAAGGGTAAGTCTTCATTTCTCCTTTTCTAGCCTTATTTTGCTTCATTAGTTAGCCCTATTTGCAAGCATTTCTGGGCCTTGACCTAAACTGTAAAATGTCTTATTTTGAGCTCCTCTTCAACTTTGTTTAAGGGAACTTTGCTATTTGAGGTCATATACTTCCTCTTACCCTCTATCTCTCTTTTAGGACTTTTTTTGCATCATATTTTAGCCTTACTTGTGAACATTTTCGAGATTTGTCATAAACTAAAAAAGATCTTGTTTTAATCTCCTCTTCAAGTTTGGTTAAGGTCTCTTTTCTGTTTGGGGTCATCTTCCCCCTATGCATGCTTCATCTCTTCATGATTGGGGTTATGCATTAGAGCACTTGCATTGGCCATGGTTTGGCCTCTTAGCCACTAAAATCCAGTGGATTTTTAGTGGCTTAGATGCATTTTTGAGAGCCAAAATCAGAGGGGAGTGATCCCCTCTCTCCTTGTCTTGTTTGGTGGTCTTGTTGGCCTTCTAAATGGACCCATTTTTGCATGCTTTGAAGTCATGTTCCAGGCCTCATTCTGAGGGTTTTGAGGTCTGCCTTAGCTCTGTCCAAGGCCCTTTTGACCATATTTTATGTCCCTCATGCATGTGTGGAACAACCCTCCTCAAGGCCTTTCAAGAGGACCTTTCATTATATGCTTTATTGATCAATTTCAGGCCCTTTTTGGTGAGTTTTAGGGCTATCATATTTGATTTCTAGAGTTGGTTTTGCTATGATAAGTGTCCATCATATATGTGTTGAGTAACCCCTTGCATGCCCTTTCAAAGGAGCTCATCATTTTCGCATATGTTGGCTGCATTTCAGTGGTTATTTGGGCATACTTTGTCATGTTTATTCACTGTTTTTGGCTGGTTTGATGAGTTCTCATACGCTTCATATACATGCCATGTAAACCATGCTTGCTAGCCAAATTTGCATGCTATTTTAGTCCATCATGTTAGCACTTTTTGGCCATGCTTTAAACTAGAAATGTGCATGTTTTGGGACTGCCTTGGCTCTGTCTTTGTACTTCATGGCCAAATAATGCTTTCTTTGCATAGTTATAATTCAATACATGTGCCTAGCTTTGAGTTTCGGGGCATATTTCATGCATCGGGTGCCATATTTTCATGTTTCGAGACCATTTAGCATCATGATTCAGTGCTGGAAATTACATGTTTGTATGCCATCTTTCATCCCTTGCCATGCTTTGATAGAGTGGCATTTTACGCCTTAGGTTCGGTCCTCGGTATGCGTGCACGTGTGCACACATTTCGGTTGTCTCTTTTCCATCTCATGGCCACTGATGTGAGTGTGGCTGAGGTCCATTCATGTTGGTGTAAGTTCATCGTGCATTGTGTATGTCATTTCGGTCCATAGCATTGCCTATGCTAGATTGCATGTTAGAGCATTGTGTATGCCATATCACATCGAGTATTGTGTATGCCATTTCATAGCATTGCGTATGTTAGGTTGTATGTTAATCGCATTATGTATGCCATCTCATTTACATCGTGTTTGGGATAGGAGTTAGCCCAAGCACGGGAAACGAGGTACGTTTCGTACTCCGAGTGACGGAACGTGTCTCAATTCCCTGTCGCCGACACTCCGGATTACCCATGATGGAGTTTAGGTCTTGTTGTGTTTTCATATGCATTCATTTCATATTGAGTCGTGCAATTCGACTCCTCGGCCATCACGCACCGATATGCGTGATTGGTGGCACAAGGATCGAGGACTACACTCCCTGAAGAGTAGTCATGCATACAAATGTGAAAACACTTTGCCATGCCCCTTTGTTGCTCTCTGTTGTAGTAAATCAGAAATCAGCGGCCTTCTGGAGCGTTGTGCAATATTCCAAGAACAATTGCAAACAGAGGCAAACTGGGGCATCGTAATGGATTTCTGCGCAAGGCAACTCAAGCATGCATCATTCATCATTTGGAACAGAGCTGAGGCGGTCCATGGATTTGCGTGCTAATTTACCTGCTTTCCTAGATTAATTTGTTAATTAATTAGGATTTTGTATTTATTCGGACTGTATATTATTTACCTTCCTGGCCTTCTTATATTATTTATTCGGACCCTCCGAGTGAGGGCAATTGTGTAATAAGTGTGCGTGAGTGTGTGTATGTCTTCCAACCCCACGTCTTTCTTCCCTTTTATTTATCAGCTTATGATGGTTAGATTAGGGCATGTTTCAATTAGCATACAGTATGATAGCATGTTTGTATTCATTCATCTGTCTTGCATACACCGGGCTCGGCGCATCATACTAACTGCATTTGTATTTCAATTCCGAGTTGAATACTTGTTAGTGGTAGCATTTCACATGCCATCTTTAGAATAGCCGAGCCTATCTTAGTTGCATTTTGCATGTGTTGCATTGGCATTTCTGTATAGTTAGGATCATGCATGGATTTCTAACATAGCTTCTGTTTTGGCTTGGAGTACTCGGTAAGTGTTTATGCTTTAGCATCCTTGCACGTATGTGAGTGACTGCCATGATAGCATGCTTACCATAAGGCTATGTGCTTATATGATATAATTGCCTGAATGCCTATGGGTGAAGGTTGGGTTATTTGAATTGGAACAATTCATTAATTGTGAGTTTTAAAGCCCACTAGATAGTGGCAAAATCATGTCTTTCTAAGCCCATCCGAGGGTGGCAAATCCACGTCTTAGCCTACTTGCAGGTAGTACCATCAAACCATTTTCAAATAAACAAACATGAAATATTTTGTTCCAATTCAGGCGACCCAGTCTATACTTGTATGCTGTGAGCATCACGTAGTAAATCTAGGCTAATAACCGGAATAAGAACGCATAATGTTTTCAAAACTAGATATCATGGTTAGTAGAGGCCGATCTTTGATCGGGCGAGCGGGGGTGCTCACGAAGTGACCTTCCCCAATCGTACCCAAGTTCCCGAGCCGAGGCAACTTTGGTGATGACGGACACATGGCCTTAGGCAACGAGTCAGGGTTTCCTAAATTCCCCCAAAATAAATATTTAAGTGGCGACTCTGTATCTGGCAAAGCAGTCCATGTTTGACACTTCTTTCTAAAAAATCTGTTTTCCAAAACGACTTGCCGGATTTGGACTCTTTGATGAGTCATCGGTCTTGCATTGCACTCTGCGAGATTAGATACAGGACCGTGACACAAATTGAGTCTGAACTGTAGTGAGACCCGAGGGCACGTCTACACCGTAGAGCTAGTTTTAGCTACTAAAATTGTTTAGTAGCTGAATGAAAAGGAAAAAATTATTTTCTATCTTTGGCGACCAAAAATTTGGTCGCCCAAAGTATATTTTCAGCGACAAAAGAATATTTTTGTCGTCGTATAGTTAGTTTTAGCTACTATAAATTGTTTAGTAGCTGAATGAAAAGAAAAAAAAAATAGTTTTTATCTTTGGCAACCAAAAGTTTGGTCGCCAAAAGTATATTTATAGCGACAAAATAATATTTTAGTCGCCAAAAACCTAAAATATGTGGAGGGAGGAGATTTCAAATTTCAGACGAATTAAAAAAATTATTAGCGACTAAAAGTATTTAGTCGGTAATGGTGTAATATATCTATCTATCTATCTATACTATTACTAGCGGTTGCCACACGCGATGCGTGTGCAATTCAAATAAATAGAAATAAAATAAAACATTTATCATATATTTTGTGTTAGTTAAGTGGTAAGAGTCTTATTCATTTGATATAAGTCTAAGTTCAAATCTCCTCCTCTCATTTATCTAATCTAATTTTTTTTTTATTTCAAATAAAAAAGTAGACACGTGACAGCATAAGAAACAAAGGCTTCAAGACACCAGAAGGGGTGCTCACTTTATAATTAAAAAAGTAGACACACGTGGCAGCATAAGAAACAAAGGTTTCAAGACACCATAAGGGGTGCTCACTTTATAATTAGATTAGATAGATGAGAGGAGGGGATTTGAACTTTAAACTTATGTCAAATGAATAAGACTCTTACCACTTAACTAACACACAATATATGATAAATGTTTTATTTTATTTCCATTTATTTGAATTGCACACCCCATCAAGTGTAGCACCCGTTAGTGTATATATATATATATATATGGTTCCCAGACAACAACAGACCAGCGCCTGTGTCTCTCTCTCTTCAGCGTTTCTCTCTACCTCTCCCATTATACTGCCTCTGCCTCTCCGCTGCTCTTCTCCCCTCCCTCTCTCACCGCCGCTCCACCAGCCGTGCCTCCGCCACTCCTCCTCACGGTCGCCGACAACTGGAGCACCGATTGCAAGCTCTCTCTCTCTCTGTGTGCAATTCGCATTTTGACACAAAATCTAGGTTGGTGATTAGGTCTTCTTCTACACCATTTTTCTAGGTATCGATAGAACCATCAATGTTTTTCTTCATTGAAATCTTCTTTTACCACTCTCTGTTTCTTCCTCTTCTAGTCTTCTTTGCATGTATATATATATCCATATATATAAATCAAAACCCATTAAAATCTAATGGCTTGTTGGCCCCCATGAATTGTTGGTTTGGGAAGTTGTTATGGCTTTTCAATTTGTTTGTTTGTTTGTTTGTTTGTTTTTTTTTTTTTTTTTTTCTTGCCTTCAAACTGTTTGATAAAATGTCTCTTAGGCTTTTCAAAAATCTAATCTACTTTGTTGTATCATCTTGACCCTAGAATCAAATGGGTGATTTCAATTATTGTGGGTTTTGATTGTTTTATAGTGAATTTTGATGATGCAATATGAATAAATAAATAATAAAAAAAGAAAAAAGAAAAGAGAGAAAAGCATGACAAAGCTTCAAAAAAAGGTTCACGCTAAATGGTTTGTATGGTTTATATAATAGAATAGATAGAATAGATAGAGTAAGAATTGGCTCCAGAATGGGAGTGGAGGAATTCACCAACGTGATCGGACTTCATCCGCGCTGAATATGCTGTTTCGTTTATAATATAGAATAGATGTATGTATGAATGAATAAATATATTCAATTGTGTAATATTTTTCAAAGCCATAGATTCAGTTTATCTCTTTTTTTATTCTTTGAGATGCTCAAAATTTAATAAATGGGGTTTCCACTTTTTCAGGCATAATTAAAGATTTGTATCAGCTTGTGATTCTTTCTTAGCATTGCATTGCTTTTCAAGTAAATATATATCATTCTACTTGGTAGCTGCTAATATATATATCTAATCTACATGGGTCTACTTGGTAGCTGCTTTTCTTAGCATTGCATTACCAAGTCTGCTAGCAAGTGTCATGACTATTGCTGCTGATACAAGTGGATCTCCAACTAGGCTTCAGGTTTGCTGATCAAATTTCTCTGGTTTTTTGGTTTTTAGAGCAAAGAGTTTCATTTATTATAATTGTAACACCAATATTTTGGTTTAGTTTTCACAAACTGTTTTTCGCTTTCCTGTTTTCAGTATTTTTTCGTTTTTATTGAAGTTTTTTGTTTTTTTATTATTAGTGAACTTTTTTCATATTTTGATGATTTTTTTTTAGAACAATATTTTGGTTCAGTTTTCATAAACTGTTTTTTGCTTTCTTGTTTTCAATGTTTTTTTTTTTGTTTTTGGTCATTAGTGAATTTTTCTTTTTATATTTTAATGATTCATTTTGACTTTTTAGATGAATCTAATCTACATGGATCAAAAATATATACATGAAGAAATCTATAAAAAAAAAAAATAAAAGAAAAAAGTTCACTAAAGATTTTTTTTTCTCTTTAATGAAGTTTATTTTATTTTTTGATTTCTTCACATATACTTTAATTATTAGTTTAGTTATAAAAGATCACTAAAAAAAATTTAGTGCAGTAGTACTTGTTTATTGATTAGGGTAATGACTAAACTAAACAACGTGATTTATTTATGTTGCTTGTTGTTTATGATATATTTTGGGTAGATATGGTGGAATGGTAGTATGTTGGATTCTTGGGCTTGGATGCCTTGTCTCGTGGAACAACATGTTGACTATCGGAGATTACTATTATGATCAGTTCCCTGTAAGTATATAGCCCACTGTTAATTTCTATTTTTTCTTCTTTTTCATGACTAACCAGTGTTTGGATTATGGATTTGAGTGAAATTTAAAACCAAAAAGAGAGAGAGAGAGAGAGAGAGAGAGAGAGAAAGAAATGTGGATTACATATAAATAAAATATAGTTTCATTTTACATACATTTCATCATCATTTTCCCTTTTCTTACCCAAATCAATAATCCAAGCACAGCTTGAATGTCACTTTTTTTTTTGTCTACTAATTACAAAGTAATTTTTAAGTAATTTGAACTTTTGTTTCTTCAAACTATCACTCTTGAGATCCTATGTCAACTAACTATTTGAGAGGATTAGGTAAGAATTTTCTAAATTGGCATCTTTTAATTGCTTATTTCCCTTTTTAGAAGAAAGCCCCATACGTAGAGCTAGCTATTGGCTTGATGGTTTGTCCAGGTCAACTTGATATAGTCATGAATAGCTATGGGCCATTAATAGTCATGAAGTTAAAAGATTACTGTGAAACAGAATTGGTTCTCAGTTACACCCAGTTAAACCCATGGTTTACATATTAGCAGGCAAATTACACACATGGTTTACATATTTCAAATTCTATGTTAATCCCTCAATCTCTTTGAGAGTGAATGGATCATTTTTTTTATTCTTAATTTGTGTTAATTTATTAATGGGCATTACTAATTGCATGAAATTGACATAATGTGAAAAAATGAAAGATAAAATTGATGTAATTGAAATTATAGAATCAAATTGGAGTGAACAATCTATAAGGACCACATGTTAATTTTCCCAACAAAAAAAAAAATAAGAAGAAAAAAACAAAGAACAGAGAAAAGAGAAAGAGTCATTTTTTAATTTAGAGTTCTTATGTGATTGTAATGAATCAAAAGTTAATACATTACTTGACATGTCATTGTGAGACTTAAATTGTAAGTCTTAATTTTTTTCAATTAGGAAGGGCCTTTAAATATTAATTTTTAAAGGATCTTATATAAACTAAGGTGGGCGCAATTATAATTTTTAAGGGTTAAAACAAAAATATTTTGCAAATATATAGGTACTAGTGTAATTATAAAAATCTAAGGAGGTGCACGTGCCCCACCTAATCCCTTCTTCCCTTCGTCTCTGGATGGAAGGGTGTCATTACAACTTGATTTCAAATGTAAGTAATTAATCGTCACAATTAAAAATGAAACATCCAAAGTGAGATTTTGGCGAAATCACACAAATGTAAAAGTATAACTACTCAGCTTTTTCTTTTTCTTTTTTTTTTTTTTTTCAATTCTTAGAATAAATTTGCTTACTACATGGATATTTTTTGTAATGAATTTTGGCAGTCATTCCAAGCTGGTTTGGCTGCATCAGGGGCTCTCACACCGGCATTGAGACTAATGACAAAAGCAACCTTTGAAAGAACTGATAATGGCCTTTGCAAGGGAGCCAGTATGAAATATTTCCCTCTCTTATAAACATCCTTTTTGGAGTTAATTATGTTTTTCATTTTTGTAATCTGACTCAAATTTTATTTTGATCCTTATAGTTTTAAATTGAACAGTTTAATCCTTACACTTCAAAATTAGTTTTAGTTTAGTCACCCATCTCAAAAGTATAAACTTGGGATATATAAAGCAACTAGATTCATATGTTGTATGTACTCAGATTGAACATCAAAAATTTTATTTCATATATATTTGAGTATACAAAACTAATGATTAATTTGAAAAGATTACTTAATTTCGAGTTTTATATGTTTTTTTTATAATTTTAAATTGGCCAATATTTAGTCAATGCTAATGATCATTTTTTTTTTTTTTGCAGATGGTTTTTGACGTACAAATGTGGATATGACTTTTTTTGACAACTACGGAAGGACATTGGATATGACTTTTTTTGACAACTACGGAAGGACATTGTTTTTATATCTCCGTCTATATATATTGTGGTTCATACAAATTAGTTTTTTTGCGTGATAAATATCTAAAATTTGGCCTGATACAAATTAGCGTTGGACGTGGTACAAATTAGTTTTTGGCGTGGTATAGAATAAATTTTTGGTGTGGTATAGATTCCTTTTGGATATTAAATTTGGTTAATCCTCTATTATGTATGGAATTAAATTATTAGGGGGTGGATTATACTTGGTTCGTATGGAATTTGTATTACATTTAGAATTGGACGTTGGATATAAATTTTTTGGATGGTTAAAAGTGAAATGTGTGCACGTTCTTGAATGGTTGATAATATATTCAGTATTGATGGATTATATTGTTTATACAGGGTATATGTTGCACTAATAATGGATACAGGTGGTTCAGAAATTTAAATAAAAAAAAAAATTAATATAGTATTTGGTGACTAAATATGCTGGTAGCCAAAAATGTAAGCAAATGTTTTGGTGACCAAAAATTTAGTAGCAAAAAATAACCAAATGGCTTTTTGCGACCAAAGACGTAGTAGCTAAAACAAATCAGAATGAGGGAAGTTTAATTGCCGACTAAATATTTTAGTCACTAAAAACATAACATCCTTTGGCGACTAAAGTGTTTGGTCGCTAAATGTACATATTCTATTAGTGACAAAAATTTTAGTCTATAATAGTTTAATTTAGTTTTATATGAGAACTTTCGGCAACTAATATTTTAGTCACCAAAAGATACCTTTGTCGACTAACCAAAGTTTAGTAGCCAAAAGTTCAATTTCGGCAACCAATAATTTAGTCACGAAAAGATCACCTTTCCCGACTAACCAAAGTTTAGTAGCCAAATGTTTAACTTTCGGGGACCAAAAATGGTTTAGTCGCCAATACTATCGCCGACAAGGTATAAGCGACTAACTTGGTGACAAAAAAATTTAGTCGCTAATTAGATTCGGCGACCAAAAATGGGACTTTTGGCGACCAATATTTTGGTTACCAAAACTGCCATTTCCTGTAGTGACCATTAAAAACGAAGTATCATAATGGTATTAGTGTGAATATAGAATTCTGCATATCCTCGCAATGAATATTTAGGATAAGAATAAAGATTGAGAGATATAATTTTAGAGTTTTAAAGAGAGCTTTAGTGATGTGGCAAGGAGTGTGACTCATATGTGATGTGATGTGATGTGATGTATGTGTCTATGTTTTTTTTTTTTTTTTTTCTCTTGTCACATCATTAGAGCTCTATTTAGAGTTTCAAAATTAGAGTTCTCTGTCATTGTTGTTTAGGATAATTATTGGGTACTTGTTAAGCGCCATGTGACATTATTAAATTTAAGGGAAAATGCTTGAGACTCCCATTTTTGGGAGACCTCCACAACCCCTTTTAAATCTCCACCATTGATATTTGTATGGGACCCACTCATGTATGTATGGGGCCCACACCATCAATGGTAAAGATCCAAAAGGATTTGTGGGAGTCTCTAAAAAAAATGAGTCTCAATCATTGTTGAAATTTAAGCCAAATTTGTCTTTCTTAAAATCTGATAATGTGACATCATTTGAATATATACATTATGGTCTTATTAAACTTTTGTCAAATGTGTCATTCTTTTTAAAATGTGACAACGTAATCTTTGTACACTATTGTCTTATTAAATTTTTGTCAAATATATCATTCTTGAAATGCAACAATAAGACATCATTTTTATTTATGTACTATTATCTTATTAAATTTTTGTCAAATATATCATTCTTCTTAAAATATGATAATGGACATTTGTGTACTATATTGTCTTATTAAACTTTCTCCAAATGTGTCATTTTTAAAATGTGACAATGAAACATTTGTGCTCTATTGTCTTATTAAACTATTGTCAAATGTGTCTTTATTAAAATGTGGTAATGGGACATCATTCTAATGTGTGTATTGTTATCTTATTAAATTTTTTCCAAATATCTCATTATTCTTAAAATGTGACAATGGTACGTTTGTACACTATTGTCTTATTAAACTTTTGTTAAATTTGTCATTATTAAAATATGATAATGGGATGTAATCCTAATGTGCGTACTATTGTCTTATTATATTTTTTAATAGAGTTGGGCTTTCCTCCAGTCCGATCACGGACTGGAGGGTATTGTTGGGCCCGTGGAGGCCCACCACGGGTTCCATTTCAATAATCTGAACCGTTCAATGTGTAAAACTCATCGAGTACTATATGTTTTAAAACAATTACATTGATCGAATATTGATAGTTATCTCATCATATCAAATTTCTGTCAACCGTTATTTTTTCACCGTCCATTTATTTATTTATTTATATAAAATTGATTTAATCACGTAGCTATCGATACCTGATTAACGTGATTTTTTACAAGCATATAATACTCGAAAAGTTCCACACATTGAAAAGTTTATATCATCGAAATGGGAGCCGTGGTGGGCCCCCACAGGTCCAACAATACCCTTCAGTTTGATTACGGATTAGAGGAAAGCCAACCCTTTTTAAATATAGGTATGCTTCATTCAAGAGACTTGAATATGAGATAGACTTATAGGTTCCTAAAAGGGTTAAGTTTTTCTCATGTTGAGATCTTAACATAAGAGAACTTGAGGGGTTCATAAGGCTGTTTCGATAATTTGAACAACTCATATTGTAGGGTCCTCAATATATATTATCCATGAAAAAAATAGTTTGATCCAATAATTATAACTTTTTCAATTTATCGCATTTGTCTCCGAAAAATTGAACGGCAAATATATTTTTAAAATAGACCATCCATTTTTATAGAGACAAATGCTATAAAATGAAAAGTTACAATTATTAAATTGACCTAAATTTTTTTATGAATGATATACATTAAGAATTTTACAAAATGAACAGTTTGAATCACCGAAATGAGACCCATTATAGACCCTATGGACCTCTCAAGTCAACCTGAGAAAAGCTTAACCCTTTATAAAAATATTTATTAGACTAAATAGTCCACAAGTGATAGATATATGATTTATTAAATGTCCCATTTAGTTATCATATAAGGAAATGAACACGATTAACACGATTATAAACATTAAAGTTCTAATTTTTTTTTTCTTTCAATTATTTGAATTTCTAAATATAGGAAACACGTTACAAATTTATTAATTTTTTCCATTTAGTTTAAAAAGATAAGAGTTTGTGTATTTTATATAATGAAACAAATTAAGAAATTTTTCATTAATTATTAAATTCTTTCTAAATCTACCCCTTTTAAGTTCTCTCTTCCAAAACCAAAATTTGTTAATAATTTTTTTATTTACTAAAAAACTCATTTAAATTAAAACTCCATGTCATGCTCTTTCTGGCCATTTTCTAAATAAATTTCTCTTCTAATCATAATCGTCATTATATATTTTTCTTCAAAGGAGAAATCTATAACATGCACTTTAGAATGTTGCACATCATAAGAAAGTTAAGATTTTTTGTGATAAAAATTATGAAGGCTTATGGTGTGTTATGCTACTTTGAGATTAAGTTATGAGCAGTAAATTTATAGGCGGAGCTAGGAAATTAAGTTAGAGGGCACTTATTAACTACAAATTTTTATTTAAAAAAATCATCATCAATATTAAGATAATAATAATTTTATGAGCTAAATTTAAGCATAAGAACTTAAAATCATTATTAATAGAAACAAATCAAAATTCTATAATAGTGTGTAATAGCTTGGTACGGGATGGTGATGTAAGCTTGTAATTTTAGCACAAAAAATTATGGATCAAAATTCCTAATTTTAGAAAATAAAAACTGTTGGAGAAAATACCAGAAACTAAACAATATTATTGATAAATGATGCAAAGAAAATGAGATACAAATAGATCAGGCTGAGGCACGGATATCTCGTTTTCTTTAAGGAGATCAAGCCCACTGCGGTAGGAAGAATCCAAATACCGATGCAGCAGTCACAATACTATGACTTGTCCCCTCCAGGATACAACAGCCCGACCACTTGTCGTATGGTTCAGGCCAACTCTGCACAAGATGGTGAACCCAAAACTCCACAAAAAAAAAACACCCTTCTTTGCTAATAATCTCTCTTGTATAGAAAATAGATAGAGAGATAATGTGACCAAAAAGAGGTTAAAAGTCAAAAAAAAAATTACTTTAACATGAATAGTTTAAATCACCGAAATGAATCCAAATTAATTCAATAATCGATTAATTTCACCATGAAATTGAGATTTTCAATTATAACAAATGGGTAAATTACAAATACACCCCTTGAGGTTTGTTTAAAATACAAATTGTCTCTTGTGGTTTGAAAAATTATAAATACCTCCTTATTA